CAGCGTCGAGGGCGGTGGCTGTCTGATTGTTGGTTCCTCGAGGGAGGATCTTACTTGCTTCCTTTGTCCGTGCGGTGCCCTACGAAGTATGAACAAGCCAGCATTCTGGAGGACGATTGACGACATATGTGATGGCGTTGCGGTGCAACAAGCGAGCGACGGGCGCTTGATGCCCGAATCTGTGAGAGAGCAAAGCGCAACCGCTATTAAACTCTATTGTTCCTTTCACCCCCCGCAAAGCGAAATTGCGGAAGCAGTAGAGAAACTCATGTCGTCAGCATCAAAGTTTTTTGCCTGCGTTGAGCAATCCATTTGATTATGACAACTGAGTTGAGTAGGCGACTATCACGTGATTCAATTTCAGCTCCAAGGCAAGTTTTCAATGACGGTTTGTTAGACACCATTTGCGAAGCAGTTTATGAATTGTGCTGTGCTCGAGGACTGAAGCACGTGGCAAAAGCACTGCCACATGCAGTTCGGGATCTCGAAGCGGTGTACGTAACGCTTACCAGCCTGGATGATCACCTACATGATTCACTCTGGCGCACACGGTACACCCTACTGCTCTGGCTAGGGATGCTGATGTTGAACCCCTTTAACGTAGACTCGATCACGGAGGACGGCGTGTCATTCGTGGCAGGCGTGGTTTTGCATTGCAGCGAGACCTTGAATGATGCAGGACCGCCACGGGACGCAGCAGCCTTTTGTCTATCAGTGACCCTGACTCGACGTGACGTGTGCGCATCGCATCTCAAGTCATTCGTGGACCTGGCTACAAATCTGGTATTTGAGCTGGGCAAGCCAGATAGTAAGCCTATCTTTGCAGCAGCAGGCGCATTGACAGCCCTTGCAGCTGCGTTCAAGCGGGGGGACAGGGTCCGTCTTGCAGCTCTTGCTCGAATTACATTCGAAGGAGTCCGACTTTGCTTTGGTGATTCGAATTCTGCATTTCGACCTTTGAAGCAACTCGCGGTGAAACTAGCTGGGCGTGTCGGAGTGGCTCTGTTGAAACCAAGAATTGCCTCGTGGTGCTATACTAGAGGGAAAAGGACGCTCATGATGTCCGATGTGCCACCACCTTCCATATTGCCTTCAGGCGTTGCGGAGGGTGGGGAATCGAACGTCGAGGTTGAAGCAGAAGATGCCGAGGAGGTGCTTGAAGCCGTCGTCGACGCTTTGCTCGTGGGACTGCGTGAGTGTGAGACGAAGACGAGATGGTCTGCAGCTAAGGGTATAGGGCGGATTGCGTCCAGGCTCCCACGCAGTATCGCAGATGATGTGGTTGAGGGCGTACTTTCTGTGTTCGACGACCAGGGTTCACATGATGACGACAATGCCTGGCACGGATCTTGTCTCGCCCTCGCAGAACTTTCGCGGCTTGGTGTCTTGCTCCCATCCAGGCTCTCTGCCGCATTCTCTGCGCTATCAGCGGCACTCAAGTATGACCGGCAACGAGGGAACCACAGCATCGGGGCCAACGTCAGGGATGCGGCGTGCTATGTAGCCTGGGCATTCGCGCGTGCCTATGCACCTCAGATCATTTCACCCCATCTACCGGCACTTGTTGATAGGATTCTTACCGTTGCCGTGTACGATCGCGAGGTCCACGTGCGGCGAGCTGCCGGCGCAGCCCTCCAGGAAAATGTTGGAAGACAGGGCATGAAAATGTATGGCTCCGGGGGAATCAAATTAATACAAGTGGCAGACTTTTTGGCACTGGGCAACAGAGAACGAGCCCATTTGGATGTCGCCTCGTCGGTGGCAAAGCTCGGGTTTTGGCAGCCGCTCTTTGACCACCTTCTTGAAGACCGATATCGACACTGGGATCCTCAAGTGCGGGCTCTGACAGCAAGGAGTTTAGGTGAGCTCGTCAGACTTCTAGAGCATCCACCAAGTCGACTGGACGCTGCACGTACAGTCGTCACCACGCTTGCCCCGCTTGCGGCCGGGAGTCGAGAACTCGCTGCTCGGCACGGCGCTCTCCTCGCACTCGCGGAGGTTGCCGCCTTCGTCCTCAAGGACGAAGCCGTCGTGTCCGAACTTTCCGATATTGTTCCTAGGATCGAAGCTGCGCGTCTCTACCGTGGTCGCGGCGGCGAACTCGTGCGCTCTGCCGCCTGTGCGTTGATCGAATCCCTTGCTTTGAACCGCACTCCTCTCCCGATCAAGGTCCAGCTGCGTCTCCTTGATACCTTGGATGAATCCAGTAGTCATGCTGTCGAGGCGGTGCGACTTGCGGCGATGAAAGGCGTGAAGGCTTTGACATGGACTTATTTTGGTGGTTTTCACAACTTCGCAAAGACAATGACGAAACCTAGTGAACGACTCTTGGCGCGTACTGTCCTTCGATATACGGGCCTAGCGCGCAAGCCAACAACTCCGGATGTATCGCGTGGTGCTTGTCGCTGTCTCGGGGCTTTACCTGTGCGTTTGCTTGCTGCGGATGACGCAACACTCGATGCGGTTCTACAAATTCTGATTTTTCGAGCACGACGTGATGACACAGTCGTCGGTGAAAAGGACGCAGAAACGAGACGCGATGCTCTTGCAGCCTTGAAAGACCTAATTCGAACCGTAGGGGCGCCTTACCTGACCCGAATTCGAGTTCTGCAGCTCCACAACTGCTTCGTTACCAACGCATGTAGTGATTTCAGTGTAGATAAGCGCGGAGACGTGGGTTCTTGGTCCAGGATCAAGGGCCTAGAGGCAGCCACTGAACTGGTGTCAGTTCTTACGGTATTTTCGGATGATGCAGACTCAATAGGAAGCACCATTCCAGCTCTTGGCGAGCGCACAGCGTGGCTCTCGAGTTCGGATAACTTGTCCTTTTTAGTTGCAGAAACCCCCTACATGGGCTTCGACTCTAGAGCTAGATGGACTGCAGTCGAGTCGGAACAATTTTGCTGTGCTCTTCTAAGGCATCTTGGCGAGAAGCTTGACGCCGTCCGAAATGTCGCACTGAGGCTTATGCCAATCCTTCTGAAAGTTGCACCGGCAATCCCCAAACGCTCGGAAATTGACGACGCACTCTCACTAGGTAGAATGGCTACAATAGACCTGCCGACGCGCCTCTGCACATGCCTGGCGCTTGGCGGCGCCTACCATGATGCGGTCTTTGGGGGTCTGTTTGTCTCTGCCGGGTCAAGCGACTCTCAGTCTGGTGAACGGTACAAGGCTGCGCTGATCAACTACGCCGTTGCTGCTACAAAGGTGAAAGATATTTCGGATACGACACGTCTCGCAAATGCTCTCATTTCATGCGCTTATTCTCTCCGTGGATCCAAACCGCCAAAGTTATCAGATGAAGTCTATTTTAAAGGGTTCAATGCAGAGGAGCGGAGCCGAAGCTTCGTTCCTCTCATGAAATGTCTCACAGCGCTCCTTGATGGGGGGGCCTTTTTACCCCTCTTGACAGCACATGGGTCTCGCAAACTAAAGAGTTCAGGCTCCGTTTTATCAATATCGGAGGCTATCGCTGCAAATTGCATCGGACCTGACGAAGACGAAGCCTTTGCTCGCAACCTCGTCTCTGCCCTCACGGCCATTGCTGCCACTCCGCGCTGTACCAGGGACGTCCGCAAGATTTGCGTCGCTGCTGATGCACTCTTGGCTGCGCTCAACGCTGCTGCCGTTAATGCGCCAACTGCTGCCGGTTTGGCCTTGGCCGCCATTACACGCAGCCTCCTTTCGCCTTATCCCCGAGCACGCGCGCATATTGCAGAGCAATTTTACGCAACCCTCGTAGAACTGACCATCGTGGATGGCTGCTTTCTTGCCCCTGGGTCTCTGGCAGCAGCACAGGAGTTGCTCGAGACTGTCACCTGGGAAACCGAGGAATGCAGTGATGCAATTTATGGTACTGTCTTGAACTTGGCCGGCACACTTGGAATCGAACCCAAAGATATACAATCTCGGTGCATTGCTAAATCGATGCTCAAGCCGAAAGATGAGCTTGAATCTTATGCCAATCTTGTGAAAGATGCTGGGTACTAAGTCTGGCTTGAAATCGCTCCAGAAAAATCTTGAAAGTAACAACTCCCCCTCCCTCCTCCCCTCGACGTACATGCACGAGCCCCCAAGCTGCAGGGTGACTCCTAGATCGAGCCCTATGGGGCCTAACCTACGGGGTCGCTCGGCCCATTAAGCCTCCCGCCGCGCGCGCCTTCGTGTCTCCGGGTCCGCCCAGCGGGTCCGCCCCGCTGGTCCGCCCGGGTCCGTGCGCTGGGTCCGTGGGTGACCCGTCGAGGCCGGGCGGACGGCGTCGAGCGCTGTCGCGCGCCGCGCACGTGCGCCAAACGCGCGCGGTCTACGTGCGTGGGTGACGCCTCTATGGCTGCCGGAAGCCCATCTCAGCTGTTTGGAGGGTAGGTTTTTCC